TTTCATACTCTTGTTGGGCATTGTTAAAATCGGGCTACAATATTGGGCTCGATTTTTAAATCGACTTGGGCTTAGGATAATTTCTAGACTTGATTTAAAAATATAAGTGATCGGTCAAGTAAAAATATGACGGCTTGTAGTAATTTCAACTTGGGCTGAGAATTAATATTGGACTCGTAATTAAAATACTACGAGGGCTCGATATTTAAAATATCGGTTGGTCTTGAAAATTAATCGACTACTCGAATTAAAAGTGGGCCAACTAATTAAAATAAATTCCCGACTACTCGATAAAATAATTTATCGAAGCTTAGACTTAGGATTTTTATCTCGTTTCTGAAATAATAATTCGAACGTTCTTCTTATGGCTTAGACTTTACTACTAACTATTTAATGTAAATAAATATAATAAATGCATCAAATTTAGAAACTTAATATTTATAGACATATAGTCGAGCTCCATAAATAATAAATAAAAATCTGGGCATTACACGAGTCGTCTAAAAGATAACAAACAATCCAGAAAGAATATAATCTAGAAATCTTAAGAAAAGCAAATATAAGTTACAATCTTTCTTCCAATATAAACCTGATTACAGAGCCACACATCAATTCACGCTCAAAACATGCATTAAAAAAACTAACTCTACATTACTCAGAGTGGCCAAATAGAAGAATTATGAGATATTCTATTCATGGAAAAAAAGTTTATCTAAAGAAACCAAGTGAAGAAGATGAGTGAGAGCGCTATTTTTAGTGACTCCCTTGTTGTTGTAACCATTTCGTTACTGTTTGTACTTATTTAGAGTTTATATAATAGTATTTGTCGTTTCTAGAAAAAGAAAAAAAAGTATCATGATACAACTATTTCCTCCCATTTTCATCTCCTTAAGCTCCATATTTTTCCTAACGAAGTTGGAATTTTATACTTTACAATATCATTTAATGTACCTTTGTTTTAAGATAGGAGATTATTCTCCTCACACTAACTAAAAATTAACTTCTCAAATCATACCATTATTTTAAGTTTGTCATATAAAGTTTTAAAGTTGATAAATTGTCTTTCAAAATACATGAAATTGATGATGTAATATCCCGATATTTTAACGGTATAAATTATGTTTTAATTCCGATATAATAATGTTATCGTTTATTATTTTCGGAATTAATTTAGTTCAGTCGGGATTACCGAAATTTATTTTCGACGTACCGTTTACGTCCGAAATAATTTTGGTAATTAAGTATTATGTTAATTAAGTAATTAAGTATAAATTGAGTGATTAAATAAAATTAATCACTACTTTAGCTCATGAAGGCCGTGACCTAATTCTATTCAAGTTGTGACTTAGAAAATTTTCCTAACTTTATCATGTTTTATATAATAGCCGTGGGCTTCCTTCACAATTTGGAAATTAAGTTTCCTTCACTAACTAAGCATAAAACGTGGCTTAAGAAGAGATAAAGTGGGAGGCTTAGTCATCTATTATCAATCTTAATGGAGAGCAATTGGCAAAAGCCTAAGGTGGCCACGCCACCCATACATCATCACCACCATTTCCTCGGCCAAGTATATATATGGAGCATTTATACGAAATTTTGCTCAAAATTTCCCTAAGGACTAAGCTAAACCTCCTTCTTTATACAACCAGCACATATATATCAGCCCTTTCAGTAAACAAAATCTAGCAAAGTTCCTTAAATTTCTTATATAAACCGCACGGCAATTAAGGACACCGCGCGGAGTACACGCGAGGACGGAAGCCACGCTTATTTTCCGAATTCCGTCGAGCAGTCAGAGAGGTAATTCCTTCCTCCTGTTAGAATCATGTTAGTAAGTTGATTTCAGAGTTAATTGTTCGGTAATTTCAAGAAAAATCATGTTTAAAGTCGTGCCTTAGTCCGA